TAATAACCATTTTTTTTTCTTTGTGGCTAAGCAAGCATTTAGCGAATAAATTGTTGAGAGTCAATTCTTGATAACTGAACAATTGGTAGAAGACGTCTTAATGAGGTGGTTTTGTCCTTTTGATGTAGCTTGTTTGAGGGTATAAATATCTCTCTCTCTCTCTCTCCTTTTGTTTTTTTTGAGGGTTCTTTTGTTTGTTTGTTATGGATAGTGAGATGAGATGGACGATCAGATTTGAAATATTAAAAAAATAAAAATAAAATAAGGGTTAATGCGAACAGGTTGGGCGGGTGTGGTTCAAACCCATAACCTGCCCACAATCCGAAACTTATATAAAATTCAAACCGCACCCTACCATAATGTGTTTGCAAAATCGTCCATACGTGTGCGGTTCGGATTGGGTATGGCAGTTTGGACGAGTTGGATAACCCTACGCCCAACCCTAACTTTTTCAAAAAAAGAAAAGTTCTGTGGGTATATCATAGCTTCTGCATACCTTAGCCTTAATATAGTCGGTTGACGATTAAATTTACCCCAACTCAAAGGAAGGGACTCTCGATCGGAGTAGTAGTGGGATCCACACCCACTTTATAACAAGGGTCTTAGGCAATGTTTTGAAAAGCGATTGCGGCCACTATAACAATTGCAATTGAAGGGTGTAAAGGTTGTAGCATAATAGTTGCAGTAATCGAAATCGTGATTTTTTTATTTTTCATACAATTTGTCGAACAACAGGGTTGTGAATGAGGGTACCTGAGGAGGACACTGGTGTGGATGGCCGGCCAGAAAATTCACTTGACCTTTTTGACCCCTAAAGCCGGCCGGCTAGAGGAGGTGGCCGGCCGGCCACCATGCAGCTTTGAGAAGGTGGCCGGTTCATGATTCCTCACAAAGGTATACTTTACTGCCTGTATAGCTGTTGTCCCCCAGAAATATCTTAAATCCGGAAGGGGACACCTTTTGGCGGAAAAGCTTTGGTCCGTTTTCCCCCACCCTTTCTCTCCATGCCTCCCCGGCTCCATTGGTCCTATAACCAGCCTTCCAACACTTGTATTAGGGGTTTAGAAAAAATTGCCTTCAAGCCCATTAGGCATCCAAAATCTCCCTCTATCTTCTCTCATTTTCTCAAAAACTCCTAAGTCTACCCCCATTTCTTCATCACCACCTAAGCCACCACCACCACCACTCCATTTCCAGCAACTTGGGAAGCTTTCCGCCAGCTAAGAGGCTACCACTTCTCAAACGCCAAGAAGCAACAAAAGACTTGTCTTCAGGGTGAGTACCATTCCCCCTTTTGAGCTTTATTTTTGCAACATTTCTTTAGCCATTATTTGCTTACTGTTTTGCAGCTTCCGGCCCTAACTGAAAGTGGCCTTCTTTTGAGATCTTTTTTCACCTTTCTTAAGGCTCAAACCCTGTTTTGAGGCCCCCCCCACCTTGCTCTTGCTTCCAATATTCTTCCTTGAATGCTATTTTCTTGCATGCTTTTGGCAGCCTATTATGCTTCCATTTTGGGCATTTTTACAGAACTAAAAATAGGCTTATTTTGAGCCCTCATTCAACATTGAAGAAGGGCTTCAACACTGTTTGGGTGAACCGTCCACATGCTACTTTCATGTATATATCTCTCTTTTGAGTCCCCATTCTTGCCATGCTTTGGCAGCCCCATTATTCTTCGCGCCTCGCATTGATTTTTGAGGCACAAAGGTGGTGTCTTTACAGGACTAAGGATGAAGCGGGTATAAAATAGTTCTACTCTATTTTGAGCCCCTCTTCACATTGAAGCACAATGGTCGCTCACTTCACTGTTTGGACCTCCTCACATGCTAGTCATGTGGTCATATCCCGCTTTGGTGCCCCTTTTCTATGCAGTGTGTCTTTGGCAGCCCATTTTATTTGGCTTTCTTGCATGGTTTCTTTTAAGGTTGTAATGCATTTTCCAGTATTAAATATGATAGGTCCTCTACGTGTATTGGGTCCCATTATTCCATTTAAAGGGAATTATTTAAATTTTATGGCCTTTCCATTTAGAGCACTCCATAGTGCGTGGAGCGGCCTTATTCCATTCTCGTACCTGCCAAGGTATTGGCCGAGTCATGCTGTAACTCATCTTATTACTTAGTACTTGAGCCAGATGCTGGCTCAAAATTCCCCGCCCAATGCTATGTCAGCTGCTCCAGATTCCTGGCTACACATCCGCCAGCTGCCTTTATCCACTATCCTCTCGGTCTATTAGAATAAATAATGCTTCCACGCAGTATCCCTCCTTATCCGTTTGACGGGAAGCTAACCTCCAAGCTCGGAGGGTTTCTTTGTAAAGGATTCTCCAGTGTGCAAGGGGGAATACACTACAAACACAATTACAAGTTACTTATCCATGACGCCTCTATTTATTATCCTGTTTGGAAGGGATGGAAAGATAAGAGAGATTAAAGAATAGAGAGCATATGCATGGAGAGAAAGTTAAAAGAGAAGGTCCCTTACCGAGGAAAATATGTAGTTGCATGAGTGCCAGTGTGAAAAGGTGATGTTGCGAGGGCATATATGCAGAATAGGGTGGCGATAATCTTATAGACAGAAGAAGTAGTGGACTCCCCGCTTGGATTCTTGAGTGGTCCTACTGGCAGCCAATTAATTGAATTATGCAATTCGGGTTAAGCCCATCAAGTCTCATTGCTTACGCCTCAAACCGTACAACTCTTACCTTCTTTCAGACATGGCCACCTCGAAAAAAACCGAATGCTAGTTCCGCCGTAACTAGGGGAAAGAGAAATGCGCAAATACTTGTGTGTCATAACTAAGAACAGCTGTGTTT